TCTTTTGCTCTTGTTGCTTTTGCTGTCTTCTGCTGCCTTGAAGTGTTGCCGCTCTGCCATGCTACCCTGCCTTGAAGCTGATTGTAGACTGAAATCTCCACAAACTGTGAGCTGAATAAACCTTTCCCTCTTTAATTCGGGTGTTGGGTATTTTGTCTCCACAACGAGAGAAAAGTAACCGAGACAGGCAGCTTCACTTTATAATAACCTGCTCTTGTGAGAACTCACTCCTGTAAGAAAGGTATTGATCCACTTATGTGGGCTCCATTCCCATGACCCCAACATCTTCCACCAGGCCCGGCCCCGGGCAACACCAGCACAATGACAATCAAATTTCAACCTGAGCTTCAGAGAGCACAAACCGTGTTCAAAGCACAGCCAGCTCTGGAGGTACCACGGCTGGCTCCGGAGGTTCCACACCCTGAGGCTGGCTTTGCTGGCCCCAAAAACTTTTCCAGCCTTCAGTCCCCGCTTTCTTAGAATTCTCCAGTGCCTCACTTGCTTCTCTCCTCCAATCTTCATTTCCCAGTTGCCTCTTTTCTGCAGAGCTGCCCAGGACTCCCAGCTGGCATGGCCTTTTGGGGGGATACTGGGTTTCCTTGGTTATCCATCTGCGGGACGCTGCCTCTTGCTCAGGCGTTGTCCTGTCTTTCTCTGGCCATACATACATTGACTATCTCAGGTGCGTGGTTTTTTTTACAGTGACAAAGTTGATTGACACAGGGACGTTGGGCACAAATTCTCTCCGAGCTTCAGTTTCCCCAGCGAAAGGATGCAGAAGCTTGATCCTTCTGGATCCTCCTCCCTCTCATGATAAGATTCTGGGATCATAATGGATTCAGCTGACAGCTGCCCCTCTTGCTGTCTCTGGCTGCACCAAATGGAACACCTGATTGTGATCGCTGCTTTGAGCTCCATAGGGTCAAATGAAATGACCCTGGGTGTGCAGTTTAGCAGGGAGTCTGCTCCTCGGACATTAATAAATATTCACCGTTAAAATGGCCAACTGCCTGCCGCTCAGCAAGTTAGCGCAGTGACAGAACTTGCTCCTTCTGGCTCTGTGAATCCCTATCTCTGAGGTCTCACACTAGCAATTGGAAGAATACTGCATCTGCTCAAAACCCTTCTCCTGGGGCAGCAGGTGGTATGAGAGGCTTTCCTGAGGTACGTCTTCAGTGCTGAATTCAGAGTTGTGAAGATGCAACTGGAGTTCTTTCCAGAGAGCCTTCCAAGATCCTGAAGGCCAATCAAACGTCAAATTATAGCGCAAGCCCTCGTCAGTTAACCCCCCGCCCCGCCCCGCAGCAGACCCACTGGCAGAAGATCAGACGCCCCAATCGCTGAGGGTTAATTACTGACTTGGCGCCCATCTGCTTGGTGAGAACTTGCAGAAGACTTTTTCCCTCTCTCTTTCCAAAGGCATAAACATTAGCACAGCGGGGGTTGGTGTGGGGGTGGGGGTGGGGATGTTTATATTTGTAGGTAACAAAGAAGTCTTTGGGCCGGGTAGGGGACTCTGCTGGACCTAAGGAGAAGCTGCCTTTGGGAGGCCCGTGACCCCAGCAGGTGGCTCTGGGATGGGGCAGGGTGGTGGTGCAGGCGACATTGGGTGGCAAAGAGCACAGCTGGTCCAGCAGCTTCGGCGCGCCCCAGGTGACTTTCCCGAGAGCTCCCAGGCTGCGCTGGAAGTACACACGCCAGCATTTCAACTGTTTCCTCTGAGTAGGGTAATGCTGAGAATGTTACCCCTTGTATCTTGTGTTTCCCAAGGCTTTAAAAAAAAAAAAAATCAATGTACATTTTATTTTCAGAAGTAGCACATGTGATTCACGAACCTACAAGATTCAAGCCACATGTAAGTACATCCAGTAAAAAGGGAGCGCTCCTGCCCCTCCCCGCTTCCTCTTGCTTCAGAGGTAACCGCAGTGAGCGTTCGATGCGGACTTTCCAGAGCTTTCCTTGTACTTTTGCAGAGACATAAATGCATAATATCTTGAAAGAGTTTGCAAAGAGTGGCACAGTGGCACATGCATGTAGTCCCAGCTACTCGGAGGCCAAAGCAGGGGGATCTTCTTGAGCCCCAGAGTTCAAGACCACCCTGCGCAACCTGAGACCCTGAATCGGGGAGGAGGGGGAGGAGCAAAAATGGTGTCATGTTTTATTCTGTGTGGTGACTTCTTCACTCAGGATGGTCTAATGGCATATCTGTAGATGTACTACATTAATTTCAGATGGTAACACTGAATTTCATAAAATGAAGACTGAGCTCCTTTTATAAGCAGGAACAAAGACACTCTTTAGAAAACATTCTCTCTGCTTCGCAAGCTCAAGGTCCTGAGTTCGATTCCTGATACAAAAAAAAAAAGAAAGAAAGAAAGAAAACACTCTCCCACTATTGAGTCCTATGGGGCCAGGGCTCTGGAGATTAGATCTCAAAAGGTCGGAGTGCTGCTAAGGTGTCAGGATGACTGGGAGAGTTTTGAGTCAATGTCCAGGTTTAAGGCCTGGAGGCCAGGAAACCCCGTGGCTTCACTCGAGGAACTTGCGCGGAGCGGCGGTTCTTTCCCTGCAGGCCTCCTACTTTTCCACAGGGCGGCGCTAGTGAGCAAGGCTACGACGTACTAGCTCCTGCGGGAAGGGGCGGGTGCAGGAGGTAGGGGCTGGGAGTGTGCAGAAAGGAAGGCCGCGCTGCGAGCTGGACTCCGGGTCTCACCGTGCCTGTCTACGTAGCTGGGGCCTTGCGGGAGCTAGGAGGACATCCAATTTCTGTTTTCTGAACTGAAGCAACAGAAAACGAAACCCACTCAGCCTAGGCAGTGGTCAGCAAGGAAGGCATGAAAAGGTGAACAGCAGATCCTTGTGTGAAATGGGGCCACGTGTTAAATGCAGGGGCCGGCGGCGGCGCGGGCGGTGGGGGGGGGGGTAGCTATTTAAAGGAACCAAGTGAGGGATTATTTTCTGAGGAGAGAATTGCCCTTACTTTGTGTAATTTGCTAAATTTGATAAATGGGCTTTTTGATCCCAAAGGCCGGCTCATCCGAGATCCTCTTGTGATTTGTCACTTGCCGAATCACTGCTGGCCCGGCTCTTGTCACTCTTGAGTTCTTCCCAGTCACTCTTAATTTACTGCTAAAAGTCATTAAAAACAGCTGGAAATGGTGCCGTGTGTCTGTAATCCCAGCACTCTGGGAGGCTGAGGTAGGAAGATGGCAAGTTTGAGCCCAGCCTGCATAATTTAGGGACTTCGTGAGACGCTGTCTTAATACAAAAAAATTACAAAAGGGCCTGGGAATGTAGCTCACTGCAAAGGCATGGAGTTCAATTCCCAGGGCCAGTGGGGTGAGGTGTCACTAAAATATACTGAGGACTCAGAGGCCAGTGACTAAACCTAATATATTACACCTCTTTTTATAGATGAGCAAATGGAGATTAGGCAGACTAAGTAATTTAACTAAGGTCTGGGAAGTAGCAGCGGTAGAGCTAGCATTGAGCACAGGTCCTCATGGTCCATAGCTCACAGTCTTAACATTTCCTCAATGGGAAATCATCGGCTTACTTAGTGAAGCCAGGTCACTTGACTAAGCTTGTCTACACAGGGTGTGACATGAAACGAATGTCCTTCTCCCTGTCTGCATGCTGCTGCCTTCCTTGGATGCAGCTTCCAGACCATGTGGTCCTAAATAATACACAGGTCCAGCTTGGAATGGAATGGAGAATGGTGAAGCGCATCAGGACAACTGGCCTTTGCTTCAGCTTGTGGGGGCCTCCAGAGTCAGCTGGGAAGGCCAAGGGCTTGCAACAAGTTACACCCAAACTGTCTACCCCTTTACTAAGAGATTCAGATGCCAGAACCCAGCCAAGCAAAGTGGCTTGCAAAGAGGGCAAGCCTTGGCCGCCCTGCAGGACCAAGAAAAAAGGCAAGTTTCTAAGAGACTCACTCTACGTGGGAAAGGGATGTTAGCCCAGCGTTTGGCTGGGAGTCTGGGGGTTGCTTCCAACTCATGGGTCTTAGCAAAGGAGAATAAGAAATTGCTGAGAGTGGCAAACTGGTTATAATTAAGAGAACCTGGGAGACACAAAACAATGTGAGGGCTGACAGCTGTCCTGGATCTGGGGCCTCTGTTCTGGGAGCCGCCCTGGGGGAGCCAGGAGCAGCTCAGGAAACCACCCGCCCTCTCCTGCCGTGCAGACCACGTGGGCAGAGTGCCCGAGGTGGGGCTTTCCCTACACCGCAGATCCCGGGTGCACCATGGCTGCGGCTGCATGAGGGTCCCCGTTTCTGCTCCTCCGCCAGCTTTCCTTCACTCCTTCCACAGTTCAAATTCACTCAAGAAAGCGAACAGGCTTGGAGTGGGCTCAACTCCTGTGCATTCTGTTTGGTTTTTGTTTTTTTTTTTTTTTTTTTTTTGGTACCAGGAATTGAACTCAGGACCTTGTGCTTGCCAGGCAGGCACTTGCTTGTGCATTCTGAATTTGGCATTTAACCTCACAGCCTCATTTTCCTCACCTGATAAGTGGGAATAAAAACAATGCCTAATCCATACATTGCTGTGAGGATTCCATTAGGTACCAGTGAAAAGTGATTAGTGTAGTGCAGGGACCAGCAGAGGTGGGCTTGCTACCTCCTTTTGTCTGGTCCTTGAACTAACCATGGTTTTTTTCACTTTTTAATTGTTAGGAAAGAAAAAAATCAAAGGGATAGTACAGAGGAACCTCAGTCTACAAACTTAATCCTTTCCATGATTCTGGTTGCAAATAGAATTGGACGAGAACCAAAGCAAATTTCCCCATAAGGTCAACATTGAACCTAATCATTGAATTTGCTTCAGTTTTTGGCCAATTTGGTTTGTGACCAGCGTCATGGAAAGAATTAAGTTCGTGAACCGAGGTACCACTGTATTTTGTGACATGTGAAAGGTTTGTAAAGTTCAAGTTTTGGCATCCATCAAGTCTTATTGCAACACACTATGCTCATTTGTTTACATGTTGTCTGCAGCTAATAACAAAGGACCTGGTGGCCCCTCATCATTCCCAGCTCCTCATGGGGTAGCTTTGATGGCTCCGAAGAGTGTGATGACACCATTGTGAAGGGTCTCAAGGAACGATCACCCCCACCAGAGCTTGACAGAACAGGGACCGAATGGTCTGTGAAGTTGAAACATGAATTAATTAAAATGTTTACTGTTTAGGCTTGTACAGAGAAAGCGTGCCGTCTCCTGGAAGAAGTGTCTGGCAGTGAGTGGTCAGAGAAATGTATGCCTGGTTACTATAATTATTGTTGTTATTGTGGCCCCTTTGGCCTCTGACTTTCAAATGACTATGTTCATGGCTTAATGGAAAGATCGTAAACCTCAAGCGCACAGCAAGGTTTCCGGGGCTCTCTAGGCTCTCAGAATTGCTGTGTGAAGTGTTGTGTGTGGTCTCTTCTGGGGAAAGGGCTGCCTGTCCTCATCTGGTTTTCAAAGGTGTGTCCTCAAGTAGGTCAAGAGGTAGAGGTTTGATACCTTCTCTGCCCCAGGTAAATCAATCTGTACTTTTTCCTGGGTACCTGGAGGCAACATCTGTGATGGTCATCTACTGAGGGACAGCCGCCCGTGTGATGGGAGGGGCCTGGTTCTGAGCCGTCTGGCTTGGACTGAGTCCAGGCCCTTTCCTGCACTGGCTAGACCCCTTCTCCGAGCCTTGGCTTCCTTACTGAGTTGTTGCAAAGATGAATTCAGTAATGTTGGTCCAGTGGCTGGCACAAGGTCTGGTACACAACAGGAACTGCAGAAATGAGAGCTATTGTTATGGCTTGTGTCTAGATGCCCCCCAAAAGCCTCATACGATCATGGGGCAGGCTTCTAGAGTTTATGATTGACTCATAGGTCAATGCTGAGATTATAGGTGTGAGTGCTACACCCGCTCTATGGTTGGCGGCCTGCATACGATATAACGGAGGGAAAGAGGCTTGTCCACTGCTGCTCTGCCCCCTTTTTGCCCTTGTTGCTCTTGCTGTTCTCTGCCACCATGAACTGCCATTTGCCACTCTGCCTTGGAGCCAGCTGAGTATGGGTGGAAACCTCCACAAACTGTGAGCTAAGTAAACCTTTCCTTCCTTAATTTTGGGTGTTGGGCATTTTGTCTCAGCAACGAGAGAAAAGTAACCAAGACAGCTCATTTGTTATATTAGCCTTGCATATTCAGAAACATTCCTCAGCTCATTCAGGCCCATTAAAAAAAAAGTTACCCTAGCCAGGAGTGGTGGCACACACCTGTAATTCCAGCACTCTGGGAGGTGAGGCAAGAGGATTATGAATTCACATACAGCCTGGGTCACTGTCTTAGTTACTTTGTCATTGATGGGACAAAATACCTGATACCCACAAGTTAAAGGAGGAAAGGTTTATTTAAACTCACAATCTGTAGGGATTTTAGTCCAGAGTCTGCTGGTTCTAAGGCAGGGCAGCATGACTGAGGAGCAGGCAGAGGAGGAACAGTCCATGGTGCAGCAGGCAGGAGGCAGCCAGCCTTCCTTCTTTCCCTTTTTATTCTATCCAGGCTATAAGCCTATTGGTTGGTGCCACCCACACCCAGTGTATGTCGTCCCTCTTTAGTAAATCCATCATTCATACCCAGAGCTATGCTAAACCAATCACTGAACTAATCCAGTATCACACCCATGATCCAGTTACCTCCTAGACTTTGGGGGTTGTGATGGTTGGTTGATTGTGTCAGCTTGAGTAAGTAAGAGAAGCTCAACCAAATTGGCTCAGCAATTCCACACCCTAGGGAGGCTTGTCACACAGAGGTATAAAGGGGAAATGAAGAGGGACGGAAATGTTTCTATTTCTTTGGGGGAGCTCCAGTCTTTGCCATCACCTTGGACGTCATCTCCTGTCTTCCATTGCAGACCCGTTGGCCTCCTGCTACGGACTCGCATAGGACACTGCAGTGAGCTCTGGACCTTTGACTGAATCCATTAGTCTTGTGTGCAGACAGACTCTGCACTCTTCCACATCCAACTCTGTGGGTGGCCATTGTAAGTCAAATTTGTAAATTCTTATATATCTGTATATCGTGTTATATCTGTTACTCTAGTAAACACTGACCCATACAGGGGTATATCTAGATATAACCCATAACAGTAACTTAGTGATTTTGCAAGATCCTGTCTTCAAATATAAAATAAAAGATGGGAATATAGTTCAGTGCAAAGGCCCTAGGCTCAACTCCCAGTGCACACACAAACACAAAAGCCGGGTGCCATGGCACATGTCTGTAATCCCAGCTACTCAAGAGACTGAAGCAGGAGGATCACAACTTTGAGCCAGCATGGGCAACTTAGTGAGACCTTGTCTCAAAAAAAAAAAACAATAAAAGATCTGGAGCGTGGTCCAGCGGCAGAATACTTTCCTAGCCTGTACAAGGTCTCCCCCGTTTCCATCCTCTACCCAAAAAAAAAGAAAGCAAGAAAAGCAAGCTTGCTCCTCTGTTGGTTAAATAAGAGATCTGAATTCCCCTTGCATATCCCTCACCTATATTTTTGGTGCTGGTCACTTAAGCAAGTTAGTTAACTAAACATAATCAGTACACAAAGTAGCAGGCCTCCCATTATGTTTTTATATGTTCAGTGGCCTCCTTTAAACAGGGACAATGTAGAATGCTTTTAATTGTGAAATAATGAAATCTGCAGTTTTGGTACTACAAAAGCCTGTACCATTTCAGGCTTTTCCAAGGAGCGAGGACCTCAAGCTGGGATCTCATTTTGCCTTAAAATGCTTCTTCTGGAGCCACATCTCCCGGTCCAGCCACCACAAGCTAACGGGTTCATTCCAGAGCCCAGTGGGAGGGTGCAGGGCATCCCTGCAGCCAGGCTGTCCTAGAGATGGGTCTCCTGGACACAGGCTGGTTCACGTCCAGCCCAGCCCGGCACTGCCCACCCCCAGGCTCAGGGTGTAGGCCTGTTCAGCAGCCGCCCGGCGGCTCCAAGCAACAGCTGGAGACCAGAAGTAAAGACTTCCAGCTACAGGCAAATATTGCATTTTTTTGTGGGTGAAATATTTTATTCCCAAAGTGCCCCTTTCAGTGGAGCAAAAACAACCCCTCATGGTGACCTGACCCTGCCAGAGGAACAAAAGCTTTCCAGTTCTCTGAATCCAAGAGACTGTCTGTATTTCTATGCACGCAGGGCGTCGCGGGGAGAGGAGACTGCTATTGTCATTCTCAGGAGTGCAGACAAGGTCACCCTCGTGCAGCCCTTCCCTTCCACATAGGAAGAACAGGCTTTGATTACCTGACAAAGGATGAAACTGCTGCTACCCTGCTGCTGGCTCCTGGGGATGTCTGACTGTGATGTGAAAGTCAGTGGTCCCAAGCTGGGTATGGGAGTACACGCCTATAATCCCAGCACTGGGGAGGCTGAGGCTGGAGGATCACTTCAAGTTCGAGGCCAATGTGGGCTACCTAAGCGAGTTCAAGACTAGTCTGAACTACAGTGCAAGACCCCATCTCAAAAAACAAAACAAACAAAAATGTCAGTGGTCCCCAAATGGGTTGGAGTGGTCTCTTCCTGGCACCATTGTCCTGTAACCCAAAGGGGATTCTTTTGACAGAACAGCTGAAGGTTCTGGCCACATTTATTTATTTTTCTGTTGCTGCCCAATTTGTCTCTAAGAAATTCACCAGCAAGGCCACCCTGTTTGTTTTCCACCAGCTATTTCCTGCCATTAAAAATATTTTCCTTCGTGGAAGGAAAGAGCTTCTGGGAAACAGAAGGAAGTCTGAGTGAAGGTAAACACTAAAGTGCGACCAGACCTTAAAGGTGCCAGCTGTCCTACTGCAAGGGTGGCGGCAGCGTAGGGACTGGGAGTGGAAGTTGGGCCTGGGCGGGGAGAAGATGGGAAGGAGGAGCACACACCTCCTGTCCAGGGGATGCCCCCCTTACAGAGGAGCTGGGTAGCTGCTGTCTTTTACACACATGCCCTGACGTGCACCTGTCTGCCCTGTGCAGATCTCTGGGCTGAAATAGTATTTGCAGCTGAGTAACAAACATACCCGCATGAGTGAAGGAGGCAGAGATCAGAATTTCACTTGCGCAGCTGTGTGTGGCAACTCATTGTGAAATTTCTCCGATAAATGAAAGTAGTGGTCAGACCCTGGTGGGCACAGGAATTATCTGGGAAGCTTCCCAGGGAGGCCAATGTGGTCGGTCTGGGGCAGGGCCCAGGCACCCTATTTTGACCAAGCACACAAGGGTCCCTGGACACCACACTCAGAAACATGTTTGTATCAGAGGTGGTAGGATTCTTTGGTTGGACTGGCCCATTTCCCCTTTTCTCAAAATCCCTACATACCTAGTAAACCTGGCTGGGTTTAGATTAAACTGGCCAAGTCAGGTCCTGAGAATTTGGAACTGTGACTCAACTAGCAGTTTGTGTGTGCCTGAACCAGTCAGGTCAGAAACTCTGCTCAGGGATCCTTGGCTTCAGGGAAGCCCTACCCCGGCCTGGCCCTGCCCAAGTGCCCCCTCACCTGCCTCAGTATGTGTCCAAGACACTGTCCTCAGCAGTCTCAGAAGATCGACTCGGACATTGACCGTAAGGATAGTTCCATGGACTGTACTCTTTCCACAAGATTCTCGTGTGGTCTTAGGCCATGTGTCCAATGCCCAGTGGATGGCTCTGCCTCGGTGGCCCATTGGGCTCCCACTGGACTCAGTCTCCTCTCACACCTGGTGCCTGTACATTGCTCATTTTAAAGAGCAGCCCCTCTCCCTTTCCAGGGACCAGGTGAGAACACCTGACTATTTTACCCTGTTCTTTACCCTGATTCCAATCTAGAATACAAGGAACAGCTACTATTGATTGAAAAATGCCACAGGCAATAACTCACACAACCCACTGCAGGTGCCACAACTGCCCCTGTTAGTCAGCTGAGAAAATAGGTGCACATGGTCAGGGGCCTCCTCCAAGGCAGCCTGGCCCGAGTGCGTGCCCTGACCTATGGGCGTGGCTGCCTTTCTCGCCCACACTGCTCCTTAGGGGCCTCCTCAGGTCCCTGGCGCCTCCTGACTGGTGTTCCTGCCTGAGCTCTTACCCCACTCCAATCTAGTTTACTGGATACAAGAAGGAAATTTTTCTAAACTGGACTCTGTCACTCCTGCACTGCAACCCTTCGAAGTCTCTGTCTTACTCTCACAGGCCTCAAGCTAATAAAGGGGGATCTGAACCCCAACAGTCTGACTCCAGCGCTTCACTCTCAACTCAACTCTCACTGCCTTGCTGAGCCCATTCCCTCACCAGCAAATAAGGGAGCGGTACCCACTGGAAAGCGATGCTAGAATATAAGCACTGCCTAACAGTAGAGTCCCTCCTATCGAGCAACACACACTTCTGGCTCCTATGAATGTTACAAAAAGCAAAAGGTTGACCTGGGCATGGTGGCCTGTGCCTGTAGTTGGGAGGCTGAGACAGGAGGATCACTTGAATCCAACACTTCAAGACAAGCCTACGAAACACAGCAAAAATTCCCTCTCAAAGCAACAAAAAGGGAAAGGGGGAGAAAGGAAGGTGGAAAGGAGGAACAGGTTGCTCTGAGCGGCAAGGCCAGTGCCACGTGGGATAATTATGTAAGTGTATTAGATACATTTTCTCTCCTAATCTCTGCAGCCTCCTGAGGTACAGACTGTGCTTTCCAGGGGAGGTGTGCGCTGCCTGGCTCGAGGCCAGAGCAAACCTCCTCCTCCCGAGCGCCCGCTGTGCAGTGTACTGACTGGGAAGTCGTCGTCCCCCCCTCCCCTTCACGTCTGACCAGCTACAGATCAGCTCTCCGTGACGAGACCTGAGGAAACCTGGAGATGCTGCTGGAGGAAAGTGAGCCAGGGCTGAGGCCTGGCGCTCAGGGTGGGCGAAGAATCTCTCCGCTGCCTGCTTCCCTGTATGCCGTGGTCTCTGGAGGAGCTCTCAGAAAAACAACAGCCCAGGGCCCACTGCTGTTTCTACAACAATGAGAATATTTATTTTTTTCCAGACAGTAAAAATAACATTTTTCTCTCTTTTGTAAAAGTTAAGTACCATTACATTCCATTTTCTTAAATAACAAAATCCTAAAAATATATATTAAATTGTATACAGTGCATCACACTTCATTTTATATTTTAAAATACATGATGTTTCTATTTTATTCTCAGAGTTGCATATTAAGAGCATATTTACAAATAAAGCCTTGTCATCTAAAGTCAAAATCCCGGCTGGGAAGTGACTTGGATGTGGGAAGGTCCTGGCGCCATGTGAACCCCAGGGGTGGCAGCCCCCTGCACAGGCAGGAAGGGGACCTCCTCGGACACTTCCCTTCTGAAGCGAGAGATTCACCTCTGACTGCCCTCCTCCGCCCGCCCCACGGCCCGCGTCTGCCTCAGAGAGTGCCCGACCCCTGCTCCGCAGGACAGGAGCCTGTGGCACGGCCCGCAGAGGTCTGTCTCCCCTGCGCCGTCCCGCCTGAGGGAGCCAGCAGAGGCTGGGAGATTTGAAAAACACCCCACACCAGGACAGCTGAACTGAGAAACCTGGCCAGGAGGTAGAACAGGGAGAAGGTAAACAAAGACACCAGAGGAAACAAAGTGTTAAAAATTCCCAAGGTAGTAACAAAAGCCAACATCAAACACCAAACAGGAGATTTGAAACCCAGGAGGCCCCGGAGGACTGAGCTGTGGAGTGGGGGTCTCTGAGGCTGTCCACTTCTAAGTGCTTGTGAAGATTAAGTGCATGGTGCCCACAGGAGCTGGGTGGTGGCCTGCTGTGCGCCCTGCTGGTAGACCAGCAGCCAGACTCCGATCCCAAGTGGGGTCAGGCAGGCTCCCGGCTGGCCTGACTGAGGCGTGGGGGTGGCGTCAGGCCCGGGCACGCCTCGGGTTCAACCTGAGGGCCAGGACAGCTGTACTTGCAAGTGCTTTGATCTTTGTGGGCCGCTGGCTGGCTTACGTCTGGAGCCAAAGCCCTCAACCCAGTGCTGACTGATGTGGGGAAAGGCACGGGGTTCATTCCTGCTCGGCCTCTGCTTTGAAATGGATGGGGCAGGCAGGGAAGAGCACAGGGCAGCCAGGGCCTCCACCGGCCTTCAGAGGGACCTAGGCAGTGAGACGCTCCCAGACGCCGGGCAGCCAGGCCCCAGTCGGCCGCGGTGCAGTCACCACAGGAGCAACACACGGGTGGGTGCGCATGCAGGAAGGCAGGCGGGGTGCCGCAGGGCCGAGGCTGAGCACAGCGCACAGGCTGCGCTGTCCCCTTGGGAAAGGCTCTGGGCCTTCCTCTGCCTCTTTCAAGGTCTCCTTTTTTTTTTTGAGACAGGGTCTCGATATGGAGTTCAGGCTGGCCTTGAGCTCACTTTGTAGCCCAGGCTGGTCTTGAACTCACAATGATCCTCCTGCCTCAGCCTCCCGAGTGCTGGGATTACAGGTGTGCGCCACCACACCCAGCCTTTCTTTCAAGGTCGTCTGCTGCACTGTCGTTTACCTTCCTCAGGGTCAGCCTTTCCAGTCCCCTCCAGCCCCTCCTCCCTTCTAGAGGTGTTTCTTAAAAGACCAAGTGCCTTTTCCTGCAGTGCTCCTGGGAGCTGAGCCTCACCTCAGCGGTGATAATTTTACTTCTTGGGTGTTCACTCCCCCCAGGGGTGCTGCTGACATGTTCTAGCTGGGGCTGTGGCCAGGCATTCATGGTGTTCGGCTTGGGTCAGCTTACAGCCCTCCTCCCCCCGTGCTGTCCTGAGGTGGGTTTGGGTTTCCCGGGGCTGCTCCCTGGAGAGGAAGCTGGTCCTGGAGGCACTGGGCTGGGCCCAGGCCAGGCAGGAGGAATGCAGGGGCATCACCTGTGCTTCCTGGGGTCTCTGAGAAAGGGCTGCTCCAGCTTCAGTTCAGACAACACCTGGGCTGGGGCATGGCCTCCTGTGCCCTGAGATGTAAGGAGGGTAAATGAGTGGCCTTCAGGAAGGCCCAGACCAGTGATCAGCTTTGGCCCAGGGCAACTGAGCAAATCCCCCTGGCCAGGCCAGCCCTTCCCAGGGACAAATTCCACACTGCCTTTGAGATGTACATGGAGCTATTCACAGCACAGGCCCTTTGTGACTGCCCACACCTGACACCAGCATTTGACAAGAGATTCCGCAAAGGCCCAGAATAGCTGGAGGAGAAACTGCACGTGTCAGTCTATTTCCAGTGGTCCTAGTGTGTTACAGGCCTCTGTCTCTGGACTCAGGGGCCTGCGGACAGCTGCTCCAGGGTGACCACCCTTTCTAGATCAAAGTAGGAAGACAACACCCAGCAGCTCCAAGCCCTCAGAAGTCTTGCACAGGGCCTGGACCAGTGCTCTGCCAACCTGTGGACACACTGTCCCTTTTCACTTCTCTGAATGCTCCTCTGCTTACTGGTTCTGAATGTCGCTCTTGGACTCATGCTGCCAAATGTCACCTCTGTCAGCAGACATCACCCTGGGAGCAGCCAGGTGCGGATGGGTTGCCAGAATCCCAGGAAGGGCCACAGCAGGCAGTGGCTTAGGGATCTGAGGGAGGTAGGCTCCGAGCCAAGGAGGGCACCCAAGAGGCAGAAGCACGCAAGCACCGAGGCCTGAGTGCCCGCAGGAGAGCCACGCTCTGACAGGGTCGTGGGCTGCTCTTCTCAGCTGCTGTTGGCAAAGCCTGCTTCCAGATGGCGGGAACTCTAAATTGAAGATGGCACTTACTCTCACAACCAGGGGCCACTGCAGCTGGAGCTCTCAATCTTCAGGCCTATCCTTGGAGGATCTCCAGTTCCAAACCCTCCCTTCCCCTCACCCCAGTCTCTCCAGGTCACCTCTCTGGGTGAGGGGCAACGTGGCACGGGGCCAGGGATAAGAGTCCTCTCCTTCCCCACAGAATCACTCACGATCCCACTGGGCTCCGGTAGGAAAGGGTAGAGCACACAGTCCCTAGAGTGTTTTTTATCTGCTTTTAAAGTGGGGTCTGCAGGGCCCATGTCTCACACAGTGCTGCCTAAAGGCTATGCCAGTCTTTATACTCCCTGTTCTGAACTGAGAGTCAGCTGAGAGAACAGAGAGCCCAAGGCCTGGCTCAGGTTCCACAGGACCACGAGCAGCTCAGGGGCTAGCCCAAATACATCCAACTCACAGCTGAGTGCAGTGGCACACTCCTATTATGCCAGCTATTCGGGGGTGCTGAGGCAGGAGCATCACAAGTTTAAGGCGAGCCTTGACAACTTGGTGAGACCCTGTCTCAAAATAAAATGAAAAGTGCTAGAGATGTAGCACAGTGGTAGAGCACTTGCCTAGCATGTGCAGGGTCCTGGGTTCAATCCCCAGTACTGCTCACCACCAAAAAAAATCCAATTCAAAAGGAGCTACCGAGTGCCTACAAATACTTCCAGTAGAGTCTGTAGCAGAAATAAATGAGTGGATGTTTTATATCCCACCCCTCAAGCTTGCTCTGTAGCTCACTGAGCTACTGAAAGAAGCCTCTAGAAAAAAGCATGTGTATGGAAGGCATCAGGTTTGATTCGAACGGGGGTCACTAGCCCTTCCCCTCAGGCCCTCTGGAATAGGCCTATCCCAGTCCAGTCCTCCGACAGTAAAGCTCCAGAGTCAGTACAGAGGACCAGCCCTCTTCATGATTTGGGGCTGCTGATACCCAGGAGCCCATACTTGTGTGGAACCAGGCCAGCCCTCAAGAGACCTGAGAATTGTTCTAGCCTGGCCCTGTTCCAAACGGTAAAGACCGGAGCAAACTGATCTGTGTGTGGACAAAACAGAGAAGAAAAGCTCAGTGTGCACTAACCCTACCCACCACCCAGCCGTCGTCTAGAATGTACCTGAGCCCAGTGCTAGCTGCCACCATCTCTGTCATTTTGGCCTCCCTGTCTGGCACCCCCATTGCTAGACCAGAGAGAGATGCAGGGAGGGCTTGGCGCTGGGCCTTGAGTCTCTCTCCCAAGTGCAGCTGATGAAGCAGGAGGAATCCGGGCTGCACTGCCCCTACAGCATGGTGTTCCTTCTCAGTTTCAGGATGGGGCGGCAGGGAAGAGCTGGTCTTTGTCAGAGGAGAACCATGGCAAGGTTGACCTTGGCAGCTTTGAGCTCAAAGAGGGATCCCGTGTCCTAAGTATGATGGGGTTTTAGTCACTCACAAGGGGATTACGGTCATCTTGTTGACTTTGACCCTTGAGCTTCTTCTTAAAGATGGAAATTGACGTAGAAGGCTTATAAAAAATGCTCCAGATTTCCCCTGAAGGCCCTGGTTGACGGCAATCCCTAAGGTCCCCTGAAGCAGGAACACGGTGGGATCTGTCAAAGAAAAACAACTTAATGTTTCAAATGGATCAGAACAAAGCACCCCAAGCAACCTACCAACTCATGAGGCACATGTACCCATGAAACAGAATGTGTGCAGTGGGGTAGGTCTAAGGCAGGACCTAACGGCTTCCTTTAAGGATCTGGAGGACTACTGTGCAGATATAAAGTGGCCATCAGGGGAGTGCAGCAGGGCAGATTCCTTCTTGGCATAACATGGAACTAACTCTTTCTTGCTTCTTCCTTCCTTCTTCCCTTCCTTCCTCCACTCCTCCTCATCTTCCTTTTCTTCTGTCTCTCTCTCTTTTTCTTGTGTGCTGGGGATTGAACCCAGGACCTTATGCATACTAGGTAGGTGCTCAATTACTGAGCTACATCCCAGCTGTCACCTCCCTTTTCCAAAATTTTGAGGCAAGGTCTCACTAAGTTGCCCCGGCTGGCCTTGAGGTTGCAATCCTGCCTCAGTCCCCCAAGTAGCTGCAATTGCAGGTAGGTGTCACCGTGTTTGGCAACATGGAACTTTCTAACTGCCAGAATTATTCCAGTTTGGAAAACACTGGGCTGGGAAACTGAGTTTTCAGATTTTTCTTCTTTTTCTAAACAAACACACGAACAAACATAAAAGTGCCCTATCTTCAAATGCCATTTACCTGAAAGCCCACTTAGCTAAAATGGGGTAAGGGCAACATTTTTCTGCTTAAAGTCTCTACTTGCCTGCCTAACTCCAGCTCTGCAACCCCTCAAGCTGCTAGGCCAGGAAGCTACAGAGGGATTCCAGGGTCAAAGGGGAGTTAGATATCCACTGAGAGATATCCATGAGATATCCATGCTGAGAGATGCTCGACCTACAGAAAGTGACCTGTGCGCTTGTTGCTGCAGGGAACATGTGCACAGGACTATACCTGAGAGGCTTCCTCAGAGGATATGAAATTGTGACTTTAAAAATTACATATATGCAGTCAGTCCTCCAAATTGGAGGTTCTCTTTCTGTGGATTCAACCAACCACACATGAAAATATTTGAAAAAAGAAACTGCATCTGTATTGAACATGTACAAGCCTTTTCTTGTCATTATTTCCTAAACAATTTAGTATAACAACTATTTACATAGCACTGACAATGTATGAGTCATTGTAATCCATTGTAATTGAGAGATGATTTAAATTTAAAGCATGCAAGAGAATGATGTGCTATTTCTATGCCATTTTATGTAAGGGATTTGGGTAGTCAAGGAGTTTTGTATTCAGTGAGGGAGGGAGTGTCCTGGAACCAGAGTCCCACAGATACTAAGGAAATGTGTGTGTATGTGCATGTAAAAGGCATGAGAGTGAGCTTTAATAAACAACAGTAAGGGCATTATTTCTGCTGAAGGATTTCATGTCTAGGATGGAGATGTCTAAGTAAGGTCATCACAGCACGGTCACGGTAGCCTTCATCGGACAACAGAGGATCTCACATTTAATGTATGGCAAATGAGAAGGCTAGGAAACAGGGCTTTTACTGGGACATCAGTGTTCCAGAAGCCTTTGTAATGGAGAGAGCCTAGACCGGGAACCTCAAGAAAGACAGAGTCTGGGTCTAGAAAAAATAAGAACAAACTGCTCTGTCAGTATACAAACATTGGTAACATAAACAGTTGCCCCCTTCCTGGAAGATAGAACTATTAAACCCAACTAGCAAAATAAGGAAAGGAAATATTTTTTCCCAAATTGGTCAGAATTGAACGATAAAGATGTATAAGCTACTTAAATAATTGTTTAAAAATAATTATTATTAATAGTTAATAAAATATTGGGATTCTCTAGGAGTATTTCCCAATTTCTAGAAGGCCTAAGGAAGAGGTGTGGCATTGTCCTAGGAATCTTTACTCTCACATAGAAAAGCTCTACAAGGAACCAGCAGAAGTAGAAAAAATGGAAAATACTGCTTTCCATGCCAGAATTGTTTCAATCCTCCCTGAAACCATATCCCTTGGACACAGGAGCAAACATGATCCCTCCAACCTTAGTGAGATTTGTCCAGTTGTACATTTCATTCTACAGAGGAGGAGGAATGTCTGCTGCCTTATGTTGCTTAGGACTCAAGGCTTTGGAATCGTGTTCTGATGTTACCACTGCACCCAGACAAATGAAGCACAGGAGAAAAGGAATGCTGAGCCTTCCCCTTCCCAGAATCAGGCAGCTCTCTTGTACTCACTTGAATGTGACATGCAGAAGTATCTTTGCCACAATGGCTGTGACTGTGAGGATGAGGAGGGTCGCTAAGCCATATACTGTCCATCCTGCAAGTGCAAAGGACTGTGTTTACTGATTCTGATTGTGCTTCAATTTCCAAAGGAGGTCTGCAGCTGAGAGGCGCAGGTCCAGTTGAGGAGCTCCCCACAGGCAGGGGCAGCAAGCAAAGGCGGCAGTGGGAGCAGCTAAGCTGAGCTAAGCATGGAATACCTGGCTTTCTCAATACCTTGCCCTGTTCTAGAAATACCTTTGGGGTAGAGGCAGGCAATGTAATCAGTATGAGAATCAAAGTGGGGATACTTGTATCTCTACCACTGGAACCACTGTGCTACCACTGATGGTTACACGAAGTCTTTGGCCTCAATTTTTGCATGTGAGGAATGAGCTGTGTGACCTAGGAAATCCTAAGTGGGCCCACAGTCAAATGGTGCAGAGTGAGTGAGTACTGCAGAGGCCACCTCCTTGACTTTCTATGGTGGGTTCTGCAGGGTTAGGGGAGAAGTGTGAAAACCCCCAGGCTAAGTCATTGCTGATCGCCCTTTCCAGCTCCACTGGCTCAGCTAGAGGTCACACAGCCAGAACCCCAACCCGCCTCTGAAGGAGAAGACCCACGAGCACTTTTGTTTCTGTAACCACCCACCAAGAGCGCTACCTTCCACTCTGTGGCTGCCAGCCCCTATTGCTGGTGCCCAGGAATTGCTACCTGGGACAGTCTGTGGTGGACGGCTGGGGCTGGTGGTGATGACGTAGAGCACTTTAGAGGAGCGGGCAGCACTGACACTGAGGTTGGCCTGCTCTGTGATCCCCTCGGCCAGCGTCTGGTTGACAGTGGGCCTCTCCTGTAGCAGTTCTTCCTTGATCGCTAGAAGATCAAAAAGGATTAGTAAGGGAAAGCCAATGGAAATAGTGAAGAGCTGAGAAGGAAGAGGGAGGCTGCTGAGGAAAAGAAGACCTTTATTCTGATTTAAGTCTGGGTACAATCACTTCCACTGGTCCCCCTGGCCCCCAAAGCAGAACCCACGAGGAGGCAGAAGAAAGGGGCTGTCAACTTCTAATTATGTGACTGGTCTCCTTGCAGACACCTGAGCATGCTTTTCAGCTGCCCTACCCTGTGCTTTGCAGCTGTCTTCCTCTGTCTTGAAGACTCTCTTTCTTCCTATCTATAGACTTACCTGTTCCTCAAGACTGTCCCACCTGGAGAGATAGTCCCAAGCATCTCCTGTAGCACTCACCATCTAAACCCTTCTTGAGGTTTGTCATTCAGGACAAAGGCTACATCTCAACACCTTTGCTTCTTGGATGAGGGCAGACTTGTGCCTGGCACCCGTGTTTACATCAGAGGGGCAGAGGGTATGGCTCCACTTTAAGAGGGTTGGAAAAAGATAGTAAATAAGTCTTTGAGATTGGCTGGGATGTTTATAGGTGAGAGTGTAGATCAAATGATTGTTAAAAGCCTTCCAATTCTGCCAATCTCAGCTCCTTCTTTTAGTTATTCTTTTTTTGTGTGGTTTTTTTTTTTGGCTTTTTTTCCAGTACTGGGAATCGAACTCATGACCTCGCGCTCTCCAGGCAGGCGCTGTGCCGCTGAGCTAAATCCCCAGCCCCTTTTAGTTATTCTTTTAGCCCTCCCAAGGGGCCCTCAGTAAGAATGTCTTACCTTGGTATAAGACAGCAAATCCCTGGGCCTGATTGATGCGGTCAGAGAAGAAATACAAAATGACAAAATCCAGAGAGACATTAAAGGACAGAGGTGGGCGGTTCCTCCCATTGAAACGGACTAGGACGCGGTGGGTGTAGCCGTCCAGCAGCTCCACCATGTCTGCAGAATCCCTGATGTCAAACAAGGTGAAGTTGAAGTGGATGTGGGAGGCTCCTGGGACCCGAATGGTCCAGTAGCAGACCCGCCCTGTGGCGTAGGTGTCAGGAAAGTCAGGGGAATAGACCACGGATGTCATGGCTGAGTAGTTCCCACCACAGGCACCAACAAGAGCTGCAGAAGACAAAAAGACAGCAGGCCTGAGGGCATGCTCAGGGCACACTCTCCATGCTGACACAAAGAGAACTCTTCCTAAAGAACACAGTCCCATTTGGGATACCGTTCTTATGTATAAAACCAGACCATCTTAGATTTCAGGATCCAGTCACAGAATGAATCACTTAAATTCTGAACAAATGACTGTGCAGACTTTCGTGATTTTGCCTAGGAGACCTTACACTTAGCACACAGCACAGTGGGGCAGCCTAGGTTGGGGCCAGGCTGGAGTCAGAGAGTCTAGGTTTAGGACTGAGTTTCACCCTCCAGACCTCTCTCTTCTCTCAGTTTTCAGGGCAGAGCCACCATCTGCTCCTGTGTCACATGATGGCTTGAGGACAGATGAGATAAAGCACATGAGAACATTGGGACCTCTTGGCAGGGGCAGCATGAAGTGAAGAGCTTTGTGGCTGCTTCGGTGTCCCCAATATCCAATGCACACGAGGTGTCCACACTCATCTTTTCAAGCGCGAAGCTATGGCACAAGAAAGGATTTTCTACATAGAAGAAATATTAGGTTCCCATTGCTCTGTACATCTGATTTCTCTGAATTCCTGTTTACGACCAGCAGGATCTAGGAAGGGGACACAACTACTTCCTATCTTAAGGGGTAAAATATAAACAAAATCTTGGAAATGAAAGGCCTAGGGAGGGAACATAGGGCTACAATTTCAAAAGCACTTCTGGGGGAGTTTTGCTTCACTTTAGAAAGCAGAAAGCAACAAGAATATGCTGCTAGGGCTGCAGGTGCAGTTCAGTGGTAGAGTGCTTAGCTAGTCTGCATGAGGTTCTGGTTTGATCCCTAGCAGCACAAAAACATAAAATAAAATAAAAAAAGAAAGAATATACTGCTTTCACATCCTATGAAGCTCAAAACTGAGAAGCTGAGGTCTTAAAACAACAGAGGGAATTTAATCCTAAAATGTACAAACCCCTCCAAAAAGCGTCAGACCTAAAGATGGCTTCATCTTTGACAGAGATGGGAGGAAAGGGTAACAGCCACAGAAACAAAAAAGAAGAAAGCAGCTAAAATTACAAACCAAAACCAAAACCAAAACCAAACCAAACCAAACCAAACCAAACCAAACCAAACCAAACCAAACCAAAAAGATTTAACGGTTGGGTGTGGGCTTGCCTCTCAGTTGAGACTAAAGGGGAGCAGCAGACACAATGAAGCTTGCATCCACTTGCAGGCTACTCTGTGCAGGCCTCCACAGAGTGCTGCCACGCGGGACTGCAGTCAGGCAACTGGCCAGGGTCCCCCTCCGAGTCACAGGTACGCAAGAGCTGATAGGCCGCCACTGAGGGAAAGCATGAAACAGTGCCTGCTTCCCATACACTCCTCTCAGGGGAAGCAGCAAAGCCTCTTGCTTCCAGCACCACTGGAGAGGGGCTTAGAGATAAGACCCCTTTGCCTCTGTGGAAGGAAGTAGGAGACTAGGAGAAAAGCAGAAACAAAACGCATCGACCCCTGGTTGCCTTCAGCCCTCTTGGGCCCAGGATCCTGCAAAGTACAGGTCTGCCGCCCTTGGAGAAGGGCAACACAACTCTGCCTTTCCCAAGATCAACCATAGGCCAAAGCAGAGTTTGACTGCCAGGGAGACAAAAGGCACGGGAATTTTGAAAGGGCCACACCCCTGCAAGGACATGTGCTAAGCCTGAGGATGAAACAGGAGAACCAGGAGCCCTCTTTCACCCCCCACAAACATAGCACCAAATAACAAGTAACAGGAGTCTACAATGAGGGAGAGACATGAAGTGGAGAAAGAGCCCCTCTGCGCACAGACATAGATGAATGACGCAAAGCTGAGGGTGAAACTGGAACACTGAAAAACCCCACTGGCCCCTAAGCTTTCATGCTAGTGTACTAGCAGGCCATCGCCGGAATTGTCTGAAGCCTTATGTGTCTTGAGGGTAATGTTAGAAGCAATGAAACCCAAAGCCTGCTCAACTACTGACAGATTGGCTTTATTCCTGTCAGGTATAAATGCCATTTACTTTAGTGTCTACCACTCTCTACACAGGACATATGGTATTCAATAAAAAATATACCAGCACTCTGTAGGAGGCTCAGGCGGGAGGATCACAAGTTTGAGTCTAGCCTGGGCTACTCAATAAGACCCTATGTCAAATTTGGGGAGGGACTGGGCATGGTGGATCACACCTGTAATCCCAGCACTGGGGAGGCTGAGGTAGGAGGATCACTGTGAGTTTGTGGCCAGCCTGAGCTACCTAGCAAGTCCCTGTCTCAAAAAAAAAAATTTTTTTTTAAAGGTTAGGGATATAGCTTAGTGCAAACATTCTGGGGTCAATCCCTAGTACTGCCAAAAAACCTAAAACAGAACAAAACACTACTTAAAAGCAATAAAGAAGTGGAATAAGATTCACTGTCAAGAAATAAATAACTTTCAAAGAACCAGACTCACAAAGGACTCAGACTTTGGAACTATCAGACAGAGACTCTACGATGAATACAGATGGGCCCAGAAAGCCTCATGCATTCACAGGTGGGGCTTATAGCTGATTTGCTCTTAGGAGGCCGAGTCTGGTTGGAGAGGCCACTGGAGCCATGGCCTACAAAAGTTTACTTTCAGCTGGGCCTGGTGGCACAGGCCTATAATCCTAGCACTGTGGGCAGGGGGAGTGGCTGAGACAGGAGGATTACAGAAAGTTGGAGTCTAGTCTAGGCTACAAAGTGAGTTTAAGGCCAATCTGAACTACACAGCAAGACCTTGTCTCAAAAAGGAAAGAAAGAAAGAAAAGAAAAGAAAAGAAAAGAAAAGAAAAGAAAAGAAAAGAAAAAAGAAAAGAAAAGAAAAAAGGAAGGAAGGAAGGAAGAAAGGGTTTACTTTCTTCCCCAGGCCTTCTTTTCTCTCTTGTTCCTGTCTGCTATGAGGTAAGCAGCTATTCTTTTACCAAGCCCCTATGCCATGCCTTCCTGCCTTGGAGCCAGCCAATTACGGACTGAAACATAAGGCAAAATAAACTTTTCCTCCTTTAATTAGCAGGTGTCAGGCACTATGTCTCAGCAATGATGAAAGTAAGATTTTGGTATCAGAGAAGTGGATCTTTCCTATCCTGCTACCTGACCACATGGTTCAGATGCTTTTAGTTTTGCCAGAAAGCAATTTCCCCTAAAGACAGAGCAGAGGAGAGCTTGGTTGCTGAAAAGACTGGCATTAAAAAGGAGCTAAGTACAGCAGGAAACAGGAAAGATGGCCTGAGGGCCGGGCGTGGTGGTGCGTGCCTGTTATCCCAGCACTCAAGAGGCTGAGGCAGGACTGTTGCAAATTCAAGACCAGTCTGGGCTACAAAGAGAGCTCAAGGACAGCCTGAGCTGGCGGGGTGGTGCATGCCTGTAATCCTAGCACTGGGGAGGTTGAGGCAGGAGGATCATTGTGAGTTCAAAAGCAACTTGGGCTACAAAGTGAGCTCAAGGCCAGCCTGAACTGCATGGTGAGACCCTGTCTTAAAAAGACAAAAAAAAAAAAAGATGGCCTGAGGGAATGAGAGGAACCACCCAGTCCCTACCCATCACAGGCTCAACACTGCAACCTGAAAGACTGCATGTAGAAGGGAGCCACAGTGGATTGTACTTGAGAAAGAGAACAGCTGGCTAGGAAATTTATTTCCTGGATTCAGTTCATAGTATAAAGCCATTCAGGCCCTTGGAGACTTATGCAGCCTTGATACAAGGAAGCCTGGCTACTGCTCAAGCCAGCAGCAGACACTGGCATCATCCACATCTGATTTTATAGGCATGCAGAATGCAAGAGTTGTGGGGTCATGGAGGCTTCCACCCAGATTTTAGCTGAAGGCCTGGAAGGCAAGACAGGGCAGAGCATGCAGCCTTGAGAGTAAAGCTGAAAGTGCAGTGCAGACCTAGGAAGAAACTGACAACAACATGAAACTTCTGCTGAGGAAAGCCACAAGAGGTGAACAAAACCAGCCCAAAAGAGAAGCTGTGAGTGCTGCAATTACTAGCAATGCCATTAGGGGAAGGCCCACATGAGCTTTTTGGAGTTCACATGTCACCAGAGCTTGCCTTGGGTGCTGGACATGGAGCTACAAGATTTAATGTTTGCCATACTGGGTATCAATGTTGCTTTGGTCCTATTAGTCTCTATGTCCTTATTTCTCCCTTTTGGAGTAGGAATGTTTACCCTGTGACATTATATGTTAGCAGAGTTTAATTTCTTTCTTTTTTTTTTTTTAGAACAGGGGTTCATAGCAAGTTACTTTGAGTCTAACTTCATAGCTAAGTTACTTTGAGTCTAAGAGAAACTTTGGATTAGGACTTCTCAGTAATGCTGAAACTGTCAGGACTTTGGCAGCTCTCAGGGATGGGCTAAATGTATTTTGCATAAAGGGATGGGAGTGAATCTTTTGGGGGGCCAGGAGTGGAATGTTATGGCTTTTGGAAGGTAAATGGATTATGGGGGCTGACAGCTGACTTGCTCTTAGGAGACGGGGTCTGGTGTGAAGAGGCAGATCATTGGGCACATGGCCTGCAAAGATTCATTTTCCTCACCAGCTTCTCCCTTCTCTGCTTCCTGTCTGCCATGAAATGAACAGCTGTTCTTCTGCATGCCCCTGTACTGTGCCATCCTGCCTTGGAGCCAGCCAACTATGGACTGAAATGTGAGAATAAACTCTTCTTCCTTTAATTTACAGGTGGTGTTTATTCTCTCTCACCCACAAAGAAAGTAAGATACCTGAAGTGCTTTGAGAGTAATGTCAGAAGCAACAAAACCCAAACCCTGCTCAACTACTGACAGACTAGCTTCATCTCTGTCAGAAGTAAAAGCTATTTACCTTAGCAGTCTACAACTCCTCCACACATGGCATATGGTAGTCAATAGAAAATGTACCAGCACTCTGGTGGGAGGCTGAGGCAGGAGGATTCCAACTGTGAGCCCAGCCTGGACAACTATGTGAGACCCTTTTTCAAAATTAAA